TTGGATTGCTTGTAATTACTTTGTTAATTATGATGAGATTATAAACTATTTTTATATTGTAGGTGATGAAAAGAGGTCAAAAGTTCATATACCGATTGCTTGTAAAGATTCAGTAGCAATCTTGTTCATGTTTGATCTAACCAGCCGATCTACTCTTAACAGGTTTGTAATTTCTTCATTAATTTGCTTTTTTTTGTTGCCTTTTTCTTTTTCTTAATATTTATCATCGATTTTTTTTGTTTTTTTTTCGTTTTTTTCAGTGTCTTTGGGTGGTATAGTCAGGCAAGAAAATGGAACACGGTACGTTAAATATCTAAGTTTTTTGGCAATAAAATAAAACATATCACATCAATATTTTGTTGTCGATTAGATCCTTTGGTCTATTTATTTCTGTTTTTGGTTGGTTTTGTTGTTTTTTCACTTTAGAATTTGATTTAGAAACCAAATTCGATTTGAGTTGTTCCATACGTCTTTTCGATGTCAATTTAGATCCCACTTTATAACAAAATGTATACTTGGACGATTTTTTGGTTGACTTCTTGAAGGATTTTCAAAAGTTATATTTTGTTCCTCTTATTGGAGTTATATTTTGTTCGGATACATATTTCAAAATTTTCGGGTTAGTTTCGATTAAACCACATAATTCACACAAATATAATTTATTAATATATTATAAAAATTTGGAATTTGATTCCAACAAAATACTTTGTCTTAAAGGTATTTTTATAATATTTGTATTTTCTTGTATCAGACGGCAATACCGATTCTAATAGGAACAAAATTCGATGATTTCGTTAGGCTCCCACCCAATCTTCAGTGGACCATCGTCACTCAGGTATACAATCATCCAAACTTAATCATATCATATATTCATTATATTCTACGTTTCCATGATGATCTCAACAATTGGATTTTTTTGGTAATAGTTTGTAATGGTTATTTTTGGTTTAATTTGATATTATATAAAATGAATAGGCACGAGCGTATGCGAAGGTGATGAAGGCATCATTGTTCTTTTCAAGTGCAACACACAACATAAATGTCAACAAAATATTTAAATTCATTTTGGCTAAACTTTTTAATTTGCCTTGGAAGATCGACAGAAATTTGACCTTAGGTGAACCTATTATCGACTACGATTCCTAGTTTAATTTTATTTATTTATTTTAGGTTTAAAAGTTTTCTTTCACTCTTGTACATGCTTTTTTTTTAAATGAGTTTAATGAAAACCACTGTAAAAAAAAAAGAGTTTAAGAAAACCGTTGACAAAGAAAAAATAGTTGAAAGAAATTATTGTTAGGTTTGTGCATTTTCATGTCGATTGTAACCGAAGATTGTACCTTAAGTCATATTTGTATTGGTGTTGTTGCTACGAACAGCTACGAATCAAAACAACTCTGCAATCAATAATCTAAACTTATAGATGTCACAATCTCTTATGAGTTTACACACGGATTTGTTTGTATCGAAATGGCAATTATAATGGAAAGAAACTTGTTCACCTAGTTTAACTTAATCGGTGTGATTAAACCTAAACTTGGGGTATTTACCAAGTGAAAGAGAGGTTTCTAGAGCGACACAATACGAGCTGCTGGAACACATGCGAAACTGTTCCAACACGTGGAGAAAAGTGAGATTAGATTTTTATTAAATTAGAAAGTCCAATAATGATAGAGGTTAAAAGCTCACATGACATGAAATGTGAGGGTTTCGTGGTGGTAATATAAAAAACAAGAGGCGTTGACAAAAAGAGTTACGCGCCTAGGGTTCCTTTGTGAGATGCACACATGTGTGTGTGGCATCGTCCAACCATATTGATGGTGGTTTGTCTATGAAGATTGTAGCCGTTGAGAAGACGGTGTTTCACCGGTGCTGCTGGTTGGTTGTCATATGGGCTTGATACCTATCTTCATAGTTTGTCCATGTAGAAAAGAGTGGTGGTATGTCATATAGCAATTGTAGGTTGTAGTCTTTTCTAATGGATTGATTCTGTACTAGATCCCGGGGATGTAGAAAAAATCGAACCTCGTAAAAAAATTCTATGTGTTCTTTATTTTATGCTCATACATACTCGTTACAAACACAAACGTAGAGATCTAGCCATAAAGCCGCTTTTGCACCAAGATCAAACTCAGCTCAAGAGGAAAAGAAAATTCTCGAATGCAACAATGCACAATGCATTGACATGTAAATCCTAACGGCAAAGACTCTACTTCATCCAGAGTCTTTCTCCTTTTCATACTTGTCCTTAACCACAGATAACCGTATCCATTCCTTTAATCAGCCACAAAACCAAGTCGACATCATGTCTCGTTCTAAAATCGGATCGTGGATTACATTCTTCACCGTTATCACCACATGTATGAGTGTGAGTTTTTTTTTATTGATAACCTCGAAGTTCAGACCGAAACCCTAATTTTCATGGGTCCGGAATCAGTCTTTAGTCTACTCTCTTTGAGAATACCCCTCCGTCCAAGGGAGATTGAACTAGGGACATAATGAAACCTAACCAGTAGCCCACCACATCCTTTGTAGGGTGAGTGTGAGTTGCACATTAGAAAAAGAAAAGGTTTAGTATGTTTGCATATTCTTAATATCATTTGATAAAAAAATGAATTTGTGAAAAAGCGTGCACATGATCAAATAATCATCTTCATTCTTGCGACCATTTTCTCGTTATGTTACCATCTTAATAGTTTAGAGTGCATATACTAGAAAATATTGTCTTATCATATTTAGTATATCCGAACAAATGTTTCACAAGGATCACAACATTTAGTTTATATGATAAAACAAAACAAGCAGAAAGGAAAACTGATAAAATGAGGACAAAAACAAGTATATTCAACAATGAGAAAGGATATTNGAAAAAGAAACCAAATTCAACTAAAATTTCTTCTAGTTTGGAGAAAAGATAAAAGATAAAAGAAAAGTACCGTTGAAAACGCTGCGTTTTAAGGAATACGAAGCTGACCACTGATGAGCCAAAGGCAAAGACTCGAGAGAAGTAGAAAAAGATCAAATTCAGCAACCGCTCTCAGGAAGACCCATAACCAGAGGCCCAGTTTCAGCCTGTATACGTTTTAATACAGTTTGTACTTTCTTTGCTTTGAATAGATTCCAAGAGCTTTGACTAATTCCTCATTCATTCTCTTTTTACGATTTGATTTTCCAAGTTTGTTAGTAATTGAAATCGTATTGTGTTTTCTGCATTCAAATTAGAATTCCATATAGTTCTCTTGTAATCTCCATTTGCACGTAGACTAATGTTATGATTAAAGCTATTGAAGTGATTAGGGTGGATGTAGCATTCGGTTAAGCCCAACCAAAGGCTATGTAGTTCAGTAAACCAGTTGTAGCCTCTAGACCAATATCGACATAACCTTCCTCTGCACTCAAGCTCCACCTTAGCGTATACTTTCCCCGAAGCTTCTTGCAATTATCAAACATGGAAGGACTCACTGCTATTGGATTTTCACTGTTTGGACTAGAAGAATCTGGTTACAGCGTATTTGAGAGCACAACATGCGCAAAATCAGAGGCAGTGCGTAAATCCAAAACCGAAATCACCCCTGACTTATCCGAGGTGACAAACATTTCGCAGGAAAAGGGACGATAAAAGATGCATTATTTGATTAAGGCTCTGATCAGAGATCACAAAGCCAATATAGGTCATATTCAAAGTCACTGCACCCCACCCACGAACATCAGAACCATAGAGCACATCGAAACGAGAAACCCTAAACACACACATATACGACTCAAAATGCGCAAAACATAAAAAGGCAGTTAAAGGACAAGAGAGACAAGTAAAGGCGCCTCACGCCACAAGTGTCAAGACTTGTTGTTTCATCCTCGGCCTTGAACCCTTGCACCTCCGACTCTTCCAATTTTTAGATTTTAATGGTATGCTACTCCCTTGCCCGCTTTGAACCAACCTTTCTGGTTCGTCGGTTTCCACAGACTGGACGAACCAACTCTTTGTGTGGGGCTGAGGGAATTGGCAAATGATGTCTCCCAGGTACCATAGCAGGGAACCCAACAGCAGGGATTCTGTAATATCAACAATTTCGCTAACTATCAAACCCACAACTACTGATTAATTTCGAGTATGTTCTTCAATACTCATCAGAGAACTGAAAGATGAGCAGAAATTTATAATGCTTACCCAACAAGAGCACAGCAGACTCCTGCATGGTCATGGGAGCATTGTTATTGCCACCCTTTTGTAAACAGAGACGAAGAGACTGGTTTTCTGCGGCGAAACAATCGAGTATCCGCCCGAGCCTCATGCATTCTCTTTCGAGATACTTACTCTTCGTCTCTAGATCCTTCACATACTCCTTCTTCCTCTCTCTCGATCTAACCGCAGCATCTCTATTTCTAAGTCGCCTGAACAATCAATACGTGCAAGAAAACAACAAACTTCAACATATGATACAATGAACAAATCACAAAGAGCCAAGGTTTGCTTATACAATGACATATCATAATCAAAACGAATTACAAACTTCAAATCCATTCAAAATCAGCTAATATACGATTGTTTCAAAAATATAAATATAAAAGGCAGATTCAGATGTACCTTCTTCTTTTCTTGGCTACAGCATCATCGTTCCCTTCAATCTCACCACCATCCTGACTCTCACTTCCGGAATCATTCGGCGACTCCGACTTCTTCTCAACCAATAATTCCGCAGCTTCCTTCCCGTAATCATTGGATCCCTGAGCTTCCTTTCCGGTGACAATTCCGTCGGAATCAGAACCAACGGTGGGAGAATCGACGACTGTTAGATCTGAAACTTTATCGGTCGGCGGATCGCTTGAGGTATAATCGACGAGTAAATCCTCAAGGAAGTCTGAAACCGATTGGTGATCCAAATCCGGAAAATTCTGCTGGTCGTGATTCTCATCGTTCATCAAAAGGCTCTCGATCTCTCCGATAAACGGACTTGCAGAGTCGTCAGTGAAAACTGAAAGATCGAGATCAAGGAAGAAATCGTCCTCTACGGGTAAATCAAAGCAACCATCCGCCATTAAAAAATCACTGACCTACTCGGAGATGAG